TAAGGACAAAAGCTATTAGCTAAAGGTGAGTAACTATTTTTCAGAGCTCAGTTCTCAGACCATCCTTCAGTGTCTCCTCCTCTCCTGTTTGCAGCAGTACACACCATAGACCCATTCCCCCACCTCCAGAGCAGTGTAACATCTCAAAGACCGCTGGCTGCAAACACACACAAGAAGTATTATTGGAAAAGTATTCTTAGCTACCATTAATTCAGCTGAGCAGGTGGAAACTAGTCAGAGAACTAACTCCATCTAATCATCCAGCTCTTTTTGGACCACAGGCAAGTGTCCTGGGAACCACTAGTGGCCACAGACCACAGTTTGGGAATCACTGTTGTAAATAACACAGAACCCTCTTATTATATAGCACACCATTCTCCTTGTCTTGCTCAGGCTGCTATTTTAGTTCTTTTTTCCCTACCACCACAGCATTTCACACGATAGTAGCAATTTACAGTTCACATCTGGTAAATATGACCGCACTGTCACATGTCTAACAACCAAGGAGATGATTAACTTAGTCAAGCATAAATTCAGGTTTCCACGAATGATTTTATTAATGTTTTCGGTAGTTTAATGTCACGTCAGCTAGAGGCAGAATCTCAGTCAATTCTGCAGTTCTATTAGCAGTCAGGGGGCTGGACAAACAATCTCCATTCAAATGAGTAGCAACAGTAAAGAACACAGCTAAGAAGCAATCAATGTACCATATAACTTACGCGCACATGGCTTTCAGGTTTTCCATTTCACCTCACATTGATGGCACATTAACATTTGGGATCACACAATGAATGTCTTCTCAGACTTACCAACCTATATTTTCCTATATGGCTTCTTAATGATGTAACTCAATTTCAAAATGGTTTGCAAAGATCCTATTTCCTGTGCTAAAGAGAAATTAACAGAAACAATCTTTTGATGGACTGTTATTCCTAGATAGAACTGGCACCCTACCTACCTCTTTTGCCATGCAAAATGAACTCAGGACATTTTAACACATTTTATATACATGAAGGCACACAATTATTGTCTGCAGTCCATGGGCATAAAAGATTAGACTAGAAAATTCACTTCAGTTTCCCTGTCATTCAAATGCTACTTAATACTGATTCAGAAAGAACAATAAACACAGGAGACAATCTTTTTCAAAGGATAATCATGCTTTGTTAAAACCATAAAAGTCTTTATTCCTATTATGATTTTTACAGCCCAAAACTTAACTGTATAGTTAAGTATAATTCTTGAGATGCACCATAAATGAGAAAATATCATGTGAGCCAGTCCTGCATCATTAAGACATGGCCATTCGCTAGCCATTTTATTAGCTATATTTAAGTTCATCAATTGTATTTCTAAGATCTAAATTTCCATAGCACTTCACATATATAGAATACCAGCAAAAATCAGTAAATAATTAATTATGTTTTCACTTTTCTTTCTTTTCTCGACCTCATTTTGCTGCAAAGAAAATACCTTGGTGGTCTTGAGGAGAAACAAAACCTATCCCATGATCTCTTATTCTTATTTTGGTCTGAGACAATTGTATTTCCTACGTCTTACCAAGTCAGAACTAATCTCCAGAGAATTAAGCCATCCTAAGGCATGGCTGTGTCATGGCATGCACACCTGCCTTAACTGGGAAGCTGATGAGTGCTTAGGGGAATAAAAAAAAAAGATGTGGAATGCATTGGAAGAACTTAGTTTCAAGGAGCTGCTATCCAACCTCTCATTTTTTCTGTGCTTTTACAGGAACTTGAGGAAAGACTGTATATTTTAGTCCCTGTGATGACCATAACACAACACTGAATCAGCAGAAAGTCTCAAATTAGCAATGAATAAAAGGATTTGTTCACTGATACGTGTTAGCTTTAACTAACATTTTGTTTCCTATCAAAAGGAGTTGAAGGGCTGTTAAAAAGTTTCCAACTGGCAATTATCCACTGTCTGCTCAAAAACATTTTTTACTGATGGAGGTGCATAATCAAAAAAGTTCATAGATTACTGTTATAAATGAATCAGTGTATATTCCTTTTTAGTAGCTTCCCTGCCTTTTTAATTTCTAATTTGCTAGACTGCAACTAGAAAAACCTCAATGGCATCTAAGATTCAAATGCTGTCTTAATTTATGCCTTCATCCTTTTTATTAAGAAATACTTAAATACTGAACTTCCTCAGAGGATTTATATAAAAGTGTATGTATCAAATGAAGCCTTATGAAACGCCTGTCAGAAGCATGAAGGGGTTTTGTTTGAATGTTGGTTTTTTTTTTTACAGTGACTGTTAAATGACAATACATCCCATAATCCCAGTTTTTTGACAATATATCCCTTAATTTTGTTTCGTGAAGCATATAACTGACCTGGTCTTAACAGGGCAGGAACTCTTTCTCAGAAATCCAGAACCTAGAAAGGCAGTGAAGACCTACACAGAACTCAATTATTTGTCCCAAAGTATGTGCTTCTGCTGGTCCTTGGGGTTCTGTGGTTTTTGTTTTGTTTCAATGCCAAAAAATGTAAATCAAGAGCTTCTTGGAGAACCAGAAGATGAGTAAAGGGTCCATGATTCTCCAATCCCTTTAGTCAGCCAACTTGCAATTTGCAAATATACTGAATTCTTGGTTTGGTCATTTTTACTAAACCTTTGCAGCCAATTCATGAAAACTGTTTTCAGCAATACATGAATAAAAGAAAGGGAATCAGATTCTAATAATTAAAAGTTGCGTATCATTTCTTCTGTGCCATAAGGATGAGGGAAAACTACCCCAAATCCACCTATTTTGTAAGTGAATCACAAAGTAGAAGGACTTCAAGCCACTTTGTGCTTTCAGTTGATTTTCTAATCATGTGAACCACATTCCTTTTGTTACATTCAAAGCTACTGCAAAGCTCAGCTATTAACCTGACTTCCAAAGAAAATGGTTTGATTTCAACATAGAAATCAGCTCCTGCTTTCCCACTGTATGCTTTCCTTTCTCCAGACTTGCACTCCTCTCAGCAGCATAGTCAGTCACAGTAAATATGGGACATCTGTAACTCTATGCTCGCCCCATCTATAAACCACTTCAGCTATCTTTGCCAGCTCAAGCCACATCTCTCAGCACGAAGAGCTGTTTGAGCTGAATGCAGACATGATCTGAGGGCAGGTTATCAGATCTGCAAACATCATCTGCTATAGCCTGAGCTCCATTCAGTTGTCAGACTTTTATCTGCATCTCATGATTGAGAATGCACCATAAACGTAGAAATTTCTCGCCTATCCAGATAAAGCTAGCACTGGGAAGTTTGATACTTGACCACGACTGACATGAATTTCAACAAAGAAACACAGGTTTCACATTTCAGTTTCAAACCTGAGATTAAATAAACCAGTAAAAAAGTCAAAAAGTTCAGGAATTCTTAGTGAGGCAACTTCAGGTTATCTCACACTGCTGAACCTCTTGCTCCTAAGCAATCATATTGATTTACTCCAGCATCATTGCAGCTTAATCAAGTCTGGAGGCCTCCTGACATGAAACAGCTTCCAGGTTTTGCTATTGGCTCCCTCCATCTTACAATGCTGTACATGAACAGTATGCACTTACAATTGGCTGTCACGTCTTTCTGGTCATTGGCATATCAGGAGACCTTTAACAAGCAAACAAGCGACTCCTCCCCAGTCTCAGAAACCTGTACTTGCTTCCTGGAAAATTCACTACTTCAGTAAAAGTACTTTTAAATTCAGAGATAATTAAGTCTGTCTTCACAGAATCACAGAATGGCCAGGGTTGGAAGGGACCTCAAAGATCATGAATCCCCAACCCCCTGCCACATGCAGGGCCACCAACCTCCCCATTTAATACCAGATCAGGCTGCCCAGGGGCCCATCCAACCTGGCCTTGAACACCTCCAGGGATGGACTGGGCATCCACAGCCTCTCTGGGCAGCCTGTTCCAGTACCTCACCACTCTCCCTGTAAAGAACTTCCCCATGACATCCAACCTAAATCTTCCCTCCCTCAACTTAAAACCATTTCCCCTTGTCCTGAAGTTGTCAACCCTTTCAAAGAGTTGATTCCCCTCCTGTTTGTAGGCTCCCTTTAGGTACTGAAAGGCTGCAATGAGGTCACCCTGCAGCCTTCTTTTCTCCAGGCTGAACAAGCCCAGTTCCCTCAGCCTGTCTTCATAGGGGAGATGCTCCAGTCCCCTCATCATCTTCGTGGCTCTCCTCTTGACCCTCTCCAACAGCTCCATGTCTTTCTTGTACTGGGGGCTCCAGACCTGGACACAGTACTCCAGATGGGGCCTCACAAGAGCAGAGCAGAGAGGGACAATCACCTCCCTGTCCCTGCTGGCCACCCCTCTTTTGATGGAGCCCAGGATACCATTTGCCTTCCAAGCCACAAGAGCACACTGTTGGCTCGTGTTAACTTTTTCATCCATCAAGACCCCAGGTCCTTCTCTGCAGGGCTGCTCTCAACGACTGCTCCTTCCAGTCTGTATGGATGCCTGGGATTCCTCTGGCCCAAGTGCAAAACCTTGCACTTTGCCATGTTGAACCTCATCAGGTTCACCCTGGTCCACCTTTTCTAGCCTCTCAAGGTCTCTCTGAATGGCATCCCTTCCTTCAACCGTGTCACTGCACCACTCAGCTTGGTGTCGTCAGCAAACTTGCTGAGGGTGCACTTGAATCCGTCATCGATGTCATTGATAAAGATAGAAAATGATATTAAAGATTAATTACCTAATCTACTCTTCTCAGTGAAAATATGTTTTAGACCTTGTCAAGAACTTCTCTCTTAAGTCTGCAAACAGCAAACTCTGCAATGCTCTGCACAGCCTTTATTTGACTGACAAATTGAATTTACCTAAAAATATTCTTTTCCTGAATTACTTCTCTTTTCATAAGACTGTTTTGAGGAAATAAAAAAAAAAACTCAACATCTTTAGCAAAAGTTATGCAGAAAAAAAAAAAAAAAAAGAGGAGTGTAACAAACATCAGTGTATACAATTTACAGTATAGTACCTTCTATCATCTCCATACCACTAGGAGGCTTACAGTGTCCAGCATGGCTCACAACCCAGACGGGATATTGCTGATTTAGTCCACAATATAACGCCTTTATAAAGGTCCTGTAATAACCTGCCAGCCCAGGGTTACCTGCCAAAAGAAACACACCAGCACAGTCAATATTAACCTTTCAACAGCAAGCAGTGTACTTCAAAGCAAACTAAACGACATTACATATGAACTTGTTAATTTAATTTCTCCAATACATTTCCAATTTCTGTTCTCCCAGTAGTAGGGACTATGCTATCGAACTGTTTGAATTCCACTACCGTGGCACAAATGAGAAGCATATTACAGAAAATGCTGAAGGTCAAAATGTAATATAGAAGCTAAAATTGAAGCTTTACAAAAGAGAAAATCTCCTTTTCTATTAAAGCTTAAGCAGCTTGCTCACCTATCTTGTCAAGTTACAGACATATGAACATTGGGCAAATATAAAGAAACCTCCATCCACACAGATATAAAAATGTATATTTTCTCCCTATTAATTTATTACTCTCCCAGGGTAGTCCCACTGGTTTCTTGTTATTATTTAGATACCAAGGAAGCCCACCATCACAGACAGGACTGCTCAGTTGCACATCTTTCACTTGTATATCAACAACGCTTAGTTTGGATATCATCGACAGCAAGAGGAAGCACGAGCAGTACTGCGTAAAAAGGCATTCAATTTTTAGGACAAAGGCATTGCAACAGAACACAGATGTATTACTGCAAGAGTACGAAGGAACATAAAGACAGTAAAATTGTGTAAAATCCTTTGCAAAAGTCTCATAGCAATAACAGCGACTGGCCCAGCATAAGCAGTGACTGGGAAAGAGAAGGAGTCAGAGCTGTAGTCAAGCTAGTACATGTAGAAATGGTGTACAGAAGTAACACTGGGTTTATTCCACTTCTTCCCTTCAAATAGTGGGCATGTGGCTTTGTCTTTTGCTCTTCAGATAGCACAAAGTAAGTTCACTGACCTCCAAAGAGGCATTCCCTCAATGCTGGGTTTCCAAAGTAGCATTTGCTGACTACAGAGAGAACAGACATGCTCAGAAGCTCACTCCAGCACTGAGACATGGGCAGAATATCAAAGTCTTTCACTCTGTGTCACATATTACACAGCTTCATCCCTCACTTACATGTAATAGGCTGATCTTAGATGCTCAAAAGTTTTTGGTTTTTTTTGTTTTTTAACCTTAGAAAAACATCCAATCTTAAAACATCCAATCTTAAAAGTATGATTTTTACTCAAGTATATGGATTTAGAATGGGAATAAAAAAAGTATCAGTTAATTTGTGCTTCTATCTTTTTGCAAGCTTGAAATGTAAGGAGAATTAAAAAGAAAAAGTGGTATATACAAACCTAAGAACACACAACCAAATTTTTGCAAGGTTCCCAAAACAGCAACAACCTAAAATTCCCATGGGATACACAGATGAGGCCATACTTTTCAATCCTTTGTACACCCCTAATTTTATTAACCTATACAACATTAACCTCATTTTCTTTTCTCATTTTTATATCTCAAATTTGTATCAATTATGGGGCTTCAAAGACAATAAAATCAAATCTATACATCATTTGTGAAGCTCCTTGAAGAACAGAGGAAGCCTGTTATTCAGCAGGGCTGATGATGAAGGTAGAAGCAATCTGGAATATAATCACATCAATTTCAAAACCAGTCCTTCCTCCTTACATTTTTCTGAGCACCAGTTGAAACTATTCTGTCCTTTTATAATGCAGAACAAGGAAAGATAGGAAAACATACTCAAAATTCAAATTTCAGTGCTCTTTCCCATACTCAGGCAGGTGAACACAAAATGTAAGGATTCTCATCACCGAGTCAACAGCTGAAGTAGAAAGCATTAAGTGCTCCAGGGAGGTTCAGGTTGGACATTAGGAAACATCTCTTCTCTGAAAGAATGGTGATGCAGTGGCACGGGCAGCCCAGGAAAGTGGGGGAGTCACCATCGACGGAGGTGCTCAAGAGCCACGGAGATGTGGCACTGAAGGGTGGGCATGGTGGGGATGGGCAGACGGTTGGACAAGGTGATCTTAGAGGTCTTTTCCAACATTAATGATTCTATGGTTCTATTCCACGACAAACCACAGGGTGAAGCAGCTTTGGATCGCAGAGCTCACAGAGCTCTCTCGAAGCTCAGTGATACTTCTTTGGGGAAAATGAGATTTTTATCTTGTGATGAACGGAAGGTGCATGTCAGACAGGTGAAAGAAAATCCGTAAATGTGAAGGAAATCCCCTTCTCCCCCTCTCCATATACATCTACTCATAGTAAAAAGCACTCTCAGGGCCCAGCTGTTAGATTTGCTATTGATAAAAATGTCTTGAAGAGGTATGAATGAGAACCAAATTCATCACGCAGGTACAGAGGTAATGCAGTACTTACTCATGCATTTTAAGGATTTCCCAGTATATCAAAACAAAACTATGTTCTTGCACTCAGCCCCTAAGCGTCAAAAAATGGAAACTGTAAGCAAACGCAATGTTAACCTTTATGATTTGAAGGTTATTCCAATTATTTGAATACCACGTTAATTCTCAAACACCTCAGAGCACATGAATCATCCACGCATGCCAGCAAGCCTCAAGTTGCAGTCATCCGAACCAAGAAGCACATCTTAAGCAGTTACTCTCAACTGTGCTTAATTTTAAACTGCATTTATGTTGCCTCATACAAAAAAAATTAAACAATATATGTAAGCAGTGACCAGGTTAAACACACAAAATGTAAGACACTGCAGATCAGCTTAATTTGCAAAAAACTTTTAGGAATTTTTTGAGAAGAATATGTCATGTGGACAGTTTACTCAGCCAGTCAGAACACAGTGAGGCCACTTTATTTGGTGCACTCACAAAGTTCACTAACAAGGAACTCCTTTCCTTCGCTGCTCTTCCCTGTAACACAACTCAGTTCATCCATCTATTCTACTACAACTCCAAGTCTTTCAATTTTTAACTTAAAGATGAAACTCACTCGCTTTTTTGATGCGTTCCATGTTCTTGTTATTGCTTTTCCAATAAATTAACATTTTAAACACCAGAGGCTTCCTTCTTATAAAGACAGATAGCAGTGAAGAGACAGTAACTTCCATAACTAAGTTTCTAACTCAGTGTAACACTAATAATCACTTTCATCCTGATTTCACGTTATCTCCTCTATAAAGTGACATAAGGACAAACTTGGCCTGTTCCTAAAAAAAAAAATACTATTACTGGAGATGCTGCACTTGCAAGAAGGAAGTTACTCAGATTCAGGAAGTTCAAACCTAGGTACATACACCACCAATGTAATTCTATCTACCTAATTCTGAATGCTAGACAACATTTTTACAAAGTTTATCTTAAAAGTCAAAGATTATAACCAGTCCTCACAAGCAATGACAGCTTTTGTGTTTTACAAACTGTTGAGAATTTTGAATTCTTCCACAATATTAAAATATTCATATAAAATATAATTTTTAATTATAAGTTAATTAATTACCATTACTAGTATTGGACAACCATGTGCAAAAGCAATCCCCAAACTTGCTGAGGAATGTGTAATGAATTTCACAACTGTGAAATACTTCAGGTTATAAAGATACACACCAGATCATGCAAGAAAAGCCTTTTATCCCACAAGGGGCAGCTCAGGCATGTACAGAGTTCACTTAAATGAAGTAGAGACTGAAAGAAAAAATGAAAGTAATTCTTAGCAGCTCTGGAAGGTATATCTAAACTGAAAAGTATTTATTTAATCAGCCTACAGAAAATGCCAAAGAAGGTGGCGAGCAAAGAAAATTTCTGTGCAGCTACATCACTCCAAATCACTAAGGGGTTTCCTGCACCTTATTCTGAACTGAACTTTTGGGCACTGCCCTGTCCTGCAGGACGTCCCTTGGAGCATTCAGCTGCCTCCAAAACTCTACCATCTGCAACAGCAGTAGTTGGCACTGGGCTGCAGAGCTCCATGCACTTCTCAAGCAGTTGTCTTCTGCTTCCTTTGGGACCTCAGCAGGACCATAAAGAATAGAAGCAGCTACATGAATAGAACAAGGGAAACACACAGCAGTGGGCTTACAGAGAACTTTGAGGAACTGGAAAACATGCCAGTAATTACCATGAGTTTAATTTTAGAAATAATCCAGTTTCAGAATTAAGTATGTATACCACAGTATAATCTCTCGCAACAAAAGCAACTGCAGGCTTTTTTGTTTGTTTGTTTGTTTTTAAATGAGCAGCCATAAATCACATTTGAAATCCAGGGGCGCACAGCAGGACCACACAAAAGTCATTTTTGTGGCAGTGGTTCCAAACGCCTCCTCGCAGAGCTGCCAAAGCTCCCAGCTCCAGCCAGGACTGACATGACAAGTTCTTCACTCAAGGAAACTTAATCCATTTTTGGCATCTGACCAGCCAACCATGGAAGAAGATGCAACTCCCCTACGTTAGTGAATGGAAAGCAGCCCATGCAGATGTCAGGAGGATTTAAATGGAACATGTGAAAAAATAAAATAAAATACAACGATGTTCTCACACTTGGGAAAAAACTGCAAAAACTGATACTGCAGTTGACAGTCAGGCCTTAAAAGGAAACACACGTTTCTATGCCATGCACAGTCAAGGAGCTGCAAGTAAACCTGTCAATAACTACTGCAGGATCATCACAACCTCCCATCAATTAAACTTCCACCTTGTAGATCTGGAGGACTGAGATTCTTAGCCCCGTGTTCTGCTTAGAGACTACGCACTAGGGGAGCATCATCAGCCAAGGAGCAAACAATTACAAGGATGTGTTTCTGCAGAAACACATGTGAAAGCTCTGTTTGATCCCCTCTAACTGTGGAATTGTGAATTTGGCTGGGAAGCAACCTAATATAATGGCGAAAGGTGTGAAAACAGGGAATCTCCAAAGGATTCAGCCAGGTGCCATAACCGCTTATTACTGAGGTTTTTCAGGAATATTTTACATTTTTTCTCTACAAATACCGGTGTAAATATATAGGATTTTAGCCTGATACAGCTGTAAAACTTACATATGAATTTTTATAACATACATTCTCTATATGCATTTCACAGAGCAAATACATTTGCCTGCTAT